CCGGGCGAGCCCCTGCTGGGGTCGCTGCAGCTGACGTCGGAGAAGGGCCGGGCATTCACCGCCGACGTCGGAGAGGTCAATCGGGCTTTGGCAGGCGGCGTGACGCGGGGCAAACCGAGGGAGGGAGCGGTCGGCGAGGGCGCGTTGACCGGTTGTGGCCTCGCCGCATGAAGAACTGGCCCCGCCGAGCCCGCCGCGCGGCCAATGGGCTTCCTCGGAGCTGCGCAGGCGGCGGTCGGACCGCCCCACGCGAATCCCGTCAGCGCCGCCGCCGCCGTGCCAAGGCTGAGCCCCGTCGGTCTGTCGTCAATGGTGAGGGTGGCGACCTGGGCCTGCGCGGCGGTGAACACGTTGCCCATCTGCATCGCGCTGTTATCTGACTGCTGGCGCCTGGCCACCGGGCCAGATATCATGCAGAAGATCAGCCGGTCCGTCTGCGGGGCTGGCGGCGGCGCGCTGCGAGGCGGAGGTGGGGCGCCGCCGCCTTCAGCGGGGGCTGCGGGCGCATCTGGGGGGGCGCCGCCTCGACCCGTTCCACGGGGGTGGGCGCCGGCGGGATGGCCGCGCCCCCCTCTCTGAGGAGCGTGGATCCGATGCGCCGCTGGCGCGCCGCCCCAAGCGCCATTTCGCCGGCCGCCGCTGACGCCCGCGACGCCCGCCACGGCCTGGCCATCTTGGATCCACCCCTCAAGGTCGGAGATGGCTGTCTTGATTTGGCCGAGCTCGACGTCGATGGCTAGCACCTCGCTCTGACGGTTGTCCATCTTTGTCTAGCAAGGACTGCTTATTGTCTTCAAATTCGTTCTCCTTGATGCGTAGGTAGTTGATCTGCTTCGCGAAGGGTCTGGCAGCTGACAAAAGGAGGTTGAGCATACTGATTTCGTCGTCGGTCTCCGTGGGGCGTTTGCCTAGTGACTTGGTCGAGAGGGCGTGCTTTCCCAAATCGGAGATTCTGCTCTTGATGCGCGTATTGTACGCCCTGGCGTCTTTGACATCCGCTGGGCACTCTTCATAGTGAACAGAAATCTCAGCACCCGAGGAAGCGGCTGGGGCTGGAAGGATCTTGGCCACGCAGTGCTGATTTCCGTCGTATCGGGATTTTGTCGAAGCGGTTTGTGTGTGTTGCGGCTCGGCTGGCGCGGGTGAGGGCGCAGGCGTCCTTGTGTGTCCTGGACAAGGTGAGAACCTCGTCGCGGCCGAACTTGTTCGTTGGCTCCGAGCGTCTGACCGCGCAGGCACCGCCGCCGACGCTCGTTGACGTACCTTCCACACTTCTCGCAATCCCAATGCGCACCTGGGCCCGCAGAGCGAGCCATGGGTCCTAAGCTTTGATGAGATGCAAGCAAGTCTTTAGTTCTAAAGGTTCTTAAGAGAGAACCAGCTCGTGCGCGGCGGGCGCGACGAGCGCCGTGCCAAGACTCCTCCTACGTAGGCCGTGGTGGACGGAATGCCGCGGCACAAGAGAGCAAGAGAAACAATGAATGTGCACGCGTATCGTGTGTCCGACTGGTTTCGTTGCGCGGAAGCGCTCTGGCTCTCACCCAGGGTGCCAGACAAGTCTCCGACAGAAACACAATATCTACCTCCTCATCCGCCTCGTTATCCCCCTCCTCCTCTGGTTCCTCCTCCTCTTTTTCCCCCTCCACCTTGTCCTCCTCATCCCCCTCCTCCGTCTCCTCCTCCTGCTCATCCTGCTCCTCCTGCTCCTCCTACTCAACCTCCTCCTCCTCCTCATCCGCCTCCTGCCCCACCTCTCACTCCTCCCCCATATTCCTCTTCCTCCTTCCTCCTCCTCCTCCTTCCCCCTCCTCCCCCATCACTCCTCCTCCTCTCCTCCTCCTCCTCCTCCCCCTCCTCCTCCCTCCTCCTCTTCCTCCTCCTCCTCCTCCTCCCCTCCTCGTCCTCCTCCTCCTCCTCCTCCTCCTCCTCCTCTCCCCTCCTCCTCCCATCCTCCCTCCTCCCTCCTCCCTCCTCCCTCCCCTCTCCCGCCCTCCTCCCTCCCCCCCTCCTCTCCTCCTCCTCCTCCTCCTCCTCCTCTCTCCTCCTCTTCCTCCTCCTCCTCCGCCTCCGCTTCCTCTCCTCCTCTTCCTCCTCCTCCTCCTCCTCCTCCTCCACCTCCTTCCCTCCCCCCTCCCTCCCTCCCTCCCTCCCTCCCCCTCCTCCCTCCCCACCCTCCATCCCTTCCCTCCCTCCTTCCCTCCTTCCCCTCCCTCCTTTCTCCTTTCTCTCCCTCCCCCCTCCCTCCCTCCTCCCCTCCTCCTTCCTTCTGCCTCCTCCCTCCTGCCTCCTCCCTCATGCCTCTCCCTCCCCTCCTCCCCGTATGAGTCTGCTTCGTCTTCTTATTACTAGTATTCTGCTCAAGCTTAATAGTATTAGTATGTTTTAGTCTTATCCTTAGTATTGCGACTGATAGTAGCATTCGTATTCTTATTATTATTCCTCGTCCTCCTCTCCTCCTCCTCCTCCTCCTCCTCCCCTCCTCCTCCTCATTCCTCCTCTGTCCTCCCTCCTCCCTCCTCTCCCTCCCTCCCTCCCTCCTCCCTCCTCCCTCCCCCCTCCTCCCCTCCTCCTCCTTCCCCCCTCCCTCCTCCCTCCACATCCCCCCTCCTCCCTCCTCCCTCCTCCTCCTCTTTTTTCTCCTCCTCCTCCTCCCCCCTTATCCCTCCTCCCTCCTCCTCCTCCCTCCTCCTCCTCCCTCCTCCCATCCTCCAACCTCGCCGCCTCCTCCCTCCCTCCCTCCTCCTCCTCCCTCCTCCCTCCTTCTCCTCCTCCTCCTCCCTCCCTCCCTCCCTCCTGCTCCTGCTCCTGCTCCTCCTCCTCCTCCTCCTCCTCCTCCTCGCGTTCTTCCTCATTATCCTCCTTCTCCTCCTCTCTTCCTCTCCCCCTCTTCTCCTCTTCTCCTCTTCCCCTCTTCTCCTCTTCTCCTCTTCTCCTCTTCTCCTCTTCTCCTCTTCTCCTCTTCTCCTCCTCCTCCTCCTCCTCCTCTCCCTCCTTCCCCATTTGTGGGACGCCAGTCCGTCAATAAGGGCGTCGAATGGGTACTTGGTTTCCACTTCGAGGGGTGGTTCTAAAGACTGATCTCGCTTGGGGGTGAGACGCGGGGAGTTTGGGCAACGAGGGAGTGGGGAGAGAGAGAGAGAGAGAGAGAGAGAGACAGAGAGGCCGAGGAGGGGGGAGAGGGGCGGGAGGGGAAGGCGATAGAGGCAAAGGAGGGGGGCGAGGGAGTTCGAGCAGGGGCGGCCTGAGGCGAAACGACTGCAACCACACACACACACACCTCCCCCAGCAAACCCTGGAGGAGGAGGAGGAGGAGGAGGAGGAGGAGGAGGAGGAGGAGGAGGAGGGGCGAAGTTGATTCCACGCCGAGAGAAACAGGGGGGGATCCTCAAAACAAGAGACCTCCTGAGGTTAGAGGGAGGAGCAACTGCACAAACATATCTTTGTTGGCCCTCCGCGCGGATTTCTCGGATCGGCGCTAGGTCCACTTAGCAACGCCTCTGGCGCCGCCCCTGGGGCGCATCGCGCGCCAGGGATGGGGGTCCATTGCCGACACAAGAACTTCGTGTGGAGCGCCACGAGTTGATGCTGGTGCAACTGTTCCTCCGGCGGGGCTTCTCCCTACAAACCCGCTCCCCCCCTCGGGGCTACAAGTTGTGTTTGTTGCCGCGAGCTCTCGTGTGAGCTATCGGCGGCGCGCCCGGGGGGAAGTGGGAGAGGGTGTGCCTTCTCAGAGGGCTCGAAATCCCCCGGCCTTCTGAAACATGTGCAGAGCCTTCCCTGAAGATATGGAAAACTTCTCAACCCGCCGCCTCCTGAGATAATCTCCTCATTCTCACTTCCCCGCCGCCGCTGCCGGCAAAACAACCTGTCAACTTGAGTTTCCAATCCACCGTCCGCCGCCGCCGCCGCCCCTCGGCCACAATGGACGTGGTGCTCGGCGCCGGCGCGCCCCGTCCCCCGTGCCCCGCGAAGAGCCGCAGGCGCCCCCCCAGGTTGGTACTCTCCGCGGCGAGCAAGGGGGGGAAGTGAGAAGGAGAAGGCCTTCTCAAAGGCGGCGGTACTTCTCAGAATGCCTCGGCCTCGGGCGTTCTGAGAGGTTCGTTGCGTCTTCGGGAAAGGCTTAGAAAACTTCTCAGAAGGCCAGGGGGGGTCCGAGCCTTCTGAGAAGGCCAGCCCCTTCTCATTTCCCTCCCTCGCTCGTCGCCGATACTCACGCGGTCGGCGGCTGCAACGCAACAGATCGCAAGAGGGCGAACGTGACCACATCCGCGCCCTCACGGCCTGTCTTCCAGGTCGCGATCGCGTGGATGCGCGGTCGCATGGATGCGTTTTGCGCGGGGCATCTGCGAAAAAACGCTCCACGTCCATAGGGTCGCGACCCAGAGGCCCGGCCCGCGAGGCCGAGGATGGGGATATGCTGAGGTCGAACAATGAAATATACTAGTCAAAATATTCGGACATAGTCAAAAATAGGTGAAAAATCGTCCCCATACTATGTTTGACTATTTTTGATTTTTCCTCCTGCAGAAGGACATGCCCGACTGAAGGATATGCTTTTCCGTCCACGAGCAGACGTTCAGCCTTGTGACGCGCCGCATCGTGCAACTACCTACCTCCAACGCCGGCAGCGGACCGCCCCCGGCGCACCTCGACGGTGCGGCACACGCGGCCAGGGTGACGTACGGAGAGCGTAGTCGAGGCACCACGGGCGAGGGTGAGACATCTGGTCGTTGTCGGGGACTCACTGACCCGGGTCAATGCACACCCGGGCCAGTCAAGTTTTGCAAGATCCTGCAAGGCCTTGCAAGATCCTGCAGGATCCTGCGCCCGAGCCCGGGTCAATGCGACCCTGGCCTTGCAGGATCCTGCAAGATACCGCTCTCTAACTGACCCCTGTTTGCATTGACCCCCGTCTCTTGAGCCCCGACGGTGCTGGTCGAAGCGTCAGTCGGTGCCACCTCGAAGCTGGCCGTGCGCGGCTGCTTTCTGCACCCGCAGCATCACACCTCCTCGTCGCGCACGCTTTCCCTCCAGGACAGCCCCCGCCTGCGCGTCCACCAGAAGTCTCGATGGTTTTCCCACCACCCACCCTTGCTGAAAGGGTTCTCGAACTTTTTCACGCCGTAGTCATCTTCGATCCAGAAGTGTTCGTAGCGAGCCATGTTCATCATCTCGTTGGTGGTGAGGTTCTGATTGATCATCTTGACGTGCGTCTTCAGCAGAAAAGTAACCCACGGCACGGTCAGCGCGTGCGAAAGCACCATCAGCACGAAGAGGGGATGGCCCAGGATTAGCTCAAAAAGCCAGCCGCCAACGGAGGTCGCGCTCACCAGGACCCAGACCACGTTCCAGCAGACCCACAAGAAACAAATCTGAGTGGCCAATTCTACGATCGCGAGGCAAATAAACTGACGGTGGTTCCCTCTGCCTATGGCAGTGTTCAGCCACACGCAGTAGTGATCGAACTCGTCAACACACGCGCCTGGGGACACCGAAAGATACCGATACCGCTACTGCCGGGACCTCTCCTGGGGTGTTTGCTGACCGAATTCCGAGGCGAGCCCAACGGTGGCGACGAGGGCATGTCAGGAGGCAAAAACGGCAAGATCGGAGCCAGGGGGAGGGGGGTATCGGTACCTCTTCCTCCTCTGAGCGCCGGTCTGCGTGCAGTACTTGGTCCGCAGGCCCTTCAGGACCCACGTCGTGGTGCAGAGGCGGGACACGTCGGGCAGGCGGTCCTCGGGCGCGCCGCCGTCCAGCGCCCGCATCAGCTCCTCCATCCCCGAGCGGCCCTTCGGCTGCTGGGGCAGCTTCCCGGGGTCGGCGAGGGCGGTCCAGGCGAAGACAAGCAGCGACAGCGGGACGCCCAGCTCGAACAGGAGGGAGCCGACCGGCGCCACAGCGTGGCCAAGGGGGCGGATGGTGACCAAGTACTCGAAGGTCGACAGCGCGACGCACACCAGCCAGAAGACGGGGAAGGACTTCTGCAACTGCGGGTCCTTCATCAGCTTCTCCATGAACCGCTTCTTCCCCGTCTTCTTGGGATCCGAATCGTCGACCAGGGGCTCGCCGCTCTCGAGGTCCAGCGCCACTGCGTTGCGCTTCCCAGCACCGTCGCCACTGCGCAGCGGTTTCTTCAGGATCGCCTCCATCTGGTGATCGTGCAGCTGGGACGCGATGTTAGAGGAACAAATAATCTGCCTAAACATAAACTTTCGGCGGTCCGCGCGGACTTCTCGGATCGGCGCTGGGCCCCCCTGGCGGCGCTGGAGAAGCAGGTCCAGCGCCGATCCAAGAAACCCGCGCAGATCTCCGAAGGATTCTGTGAATGCAGTTTGTTTTTCGTCGGAATGTCGTGGCAGGAGGCCCCCTGTGCGTTTCGCTGCCGCGGGTCGCAGCCCTCCTCCACAAGGAACTGGGCGGCCTCGTGCTTTTGCGCCCGCACGGCGCGGTGCAGCGGGCTCATCTTCGAGTTGTCCAGGCGCGCCAGGTCGACTCCGAAGTAGCCCAGCAGCCTCAGGGCCTGAACGTCGCCTTTGAACGCCGCCCAGTGGGCGACGCTGCAGCCGTTCTTGTCCTGGTCCGCCAGCAGCCCCTCCCCGCCGCGGCGCAACAGCACGAGCATGCAGCCGTAGCTCCTGTGCTGGACCGCCAGGATCAGCGGCGTCGCGCCCATGGAGTCCTCTAGATGATAATCGAACGACCGGCATGAACAAACAAACACTTTCGGAGCCCCGCGCGGATTTCTTGGATCGGCGGTGGACATCCCTCCCTGGCGCGCGGAACGCGCCAGGGGCGGCGCCAATGGCGCCGTGGGGGGGGGGGGCGCCGATCCGAGAAACCCATGCACAGCACCGACAATCTACGGCTGCACACAGGGAAACAAGCAGAGCACCCATACTGCTACTCCCCTGGACCTTCCCTGAGGCGCGTTTTTGCCAGGATTTCGAAGCGGAAGTCAGCCGTCAGGATGAGCTGCCCCCCAAGAACGAACGTGTGAGCTGCGCGTCAAATTAAACAATGGAAGACGAGACTCACGACGACGAACGCGACGATGACAAAGACGATGACAAAGACAGGAGGCTCGCAAGAGTTTCCTGGGGGGGGTCAGATAGGGTCCAGAGAAAAACTCCGCTGACGTTCCTGCAAGGTGCGTGAGAGGCTCGTGCGAGGCTCCTGAACCGGCCCCAGAAAGACAGAGCGAGCGAGAGAGAGAGAGAGAAGGAAAGATAATCCTGATGGGAAGGTGCATGACAAAGAAAGGTGCTCGCAGGCTCCGGAGAGGCTCCTGGGAATATCATATCCTGAGCAAGCCGCGCGAGGCCATCCTTTTCGCCCTCCGACTCAAGAGTTATGCTTGCCACACAATAAAGGACTCGGCGGCATTTCGCTGGCACCTTTTGCTGGGGGGTTGTCGGCGAGCGCGGGTGACTCCTATGCCGAGGGCCCCGCGCCCCGCCAGTCCACAGGGCCCTCGTGTCAAGGGACCGCAACGCCCTGGAGCTTCCAGGACTCTTCGGTCAGCGGGCCCCGACCCTGTGCACATCTACTTACTCAAGGGCGCGCGACTTCCTGGGGCGCGCTGTATAATGGCCCTGCGAGGCCTGGTCCCCAGAGTCGAGGGCCGACTCTGGAGCCACACGCCGAAGGGAGCGGGACTTCCTGGGCCCCACAACATAGGGCCCACGACTCGTGGGCTCCGTAAACGATGGCCGAGGTCTGTAGGGTCGCACAATCAAGGGCGCTGAAGCCACGGACCCTAGACTATTGGGCCGTCGAGTCAAGGGCCCATTACACTTGGTCCATTGGACAAAAAAGCCCCCCTTGCTATTTAATCCTAGTAACTTGCGCGGTTCCGGTGGGAAGCTCGCTCCGCAAACGAACTGTTGAACGATGGCTTCCAGGATGGCATGCTGACCTGCCATCAATGCGACCCCGAGAAACGCCCACCAGCGCGAACCCCAATCGCGCCAACACGGCTCTCGCAACCGAAAACCCATCTGAGCCGGGACCAGGCCCAGCGCCGCGACATCGCAGAGAGCCCCCCCCCGCAGCACGACGAAAAACGCGCGCCGCCACGACATAGAAAACAAACTAAACTACCCAGCCCACACCAAAATCCACTTCAGATTCGTTTGGGGCCCAATTCAGCCCGATCAGCGGTGGTGACGAGGGAAGGGCGTAGCAGTACATAGCACCCCGCGGTTGCGGATAAGAGTGAGGGGGCGGCGGGGACGTCGGCAGTTTGCGAGGCTGCGAAGAAGCCCGCCGCAGGCGCAGAATTTTTCAAACTATACAGCGAGACCGCCACAAGCGCCGCGATGTGCTGGTTAAAACAATGTGGGTGGGTCGCTGGGTGGGTCGCGAGTGGGTCGCGGGTGGGTCGCGGGCCGGGACGCGGGTGGGTCGCGGGCCCGTTCGCGGGTGGGTCGCGGGTGGGTCGCGGGTGGGTCGCGGGGGGGTCGCGGGTAGGTCGCGGGGTGGGTCGCGGGTGGGTCGCGGGGGGGACAACGCAACAAAACAGGCAGAACCTTTGCCGTGGATCCCCACTTCAGCCACGCACCCTGGGACAGTGAATGACCGTTCGGCCCCCTCACTCTGACTGAGTGGGTCGCGGGGTGGGTCGCGTGTTGGTCGCTGGGTGGGTCGCGGGTGGGTCGCGGTGTGGGTCGCGGTGTGGGTCGCGGGGTGGGTCGCGCGGTGGGTCGCGGGTGGGTCGCGGGTGGGTCGCGGGTGGGACGACGACAACAAACAAACAAACAACAACGCAAATCCTCACCACGGATCCCCACTTCAGCCACGCACCCAAGGACGATGAATGACAGTTCGGCCTTCTCACTCTGATCAGTACCTCTTCCTCCTTTGAGATTCTTCAGTTTTGTCGTCCTCGAGTCCTTGGCGTGCGCGTTGGCCCCCGCGTCCAGCAGCGCGCGCGCGACGGGCAGCTGCCCTTTCAGCACCGCCCACATCAGCGGCGTCTGCCCGTTGTGCGCCTGCGCGTCCACGGGGCAGCCCATGGCGACCCCGCACCTGACGAAGTCGACATTGCCCATGAGGGCCCCCCAGTGCAGCAGGCTGTGGGCTTCGCCTTGACTAAGAGGCAGGCTGACTACTTACCAAAAAACCCAACCCGAAGTCGCCGTTCGGCCTGTCAAATTCGAGTGGGGGACACTCGGGAACACTCGGAAAGACACGATGGCAGCCGTGCAATCCCCATTCCGAACATTGGGTGGGCCTTTGGCCTTCGGGTTGGGTGGAGGTGGTTCGGGTCAACAACGAAGCCCGGACATGCTGGTGTCGTCCAAAAATACACGACGGGAGACGGCTGCCATTCTTCGGCATCCGGGGGCCCTCGCCGCCAGGCCCTAAAAGACTGAACAAATAAATAGCTCGCGATGGAAAAAAAAACCCTGGGGAAAGGGTCGCGACTGGCGCAGGATCCCTCAATAGAAACACAGGACATCGCATGTCAGGGAACGAACCTGACTCACGTTTGACCACCCTCGCTTCCGAACGGGAGCCAAGATAAAGTCAATGTTGATAGTATGGATGCACAAAAAATATGCAAGCCCCTTGGACGCCAATGCCGAAGCTCTTCGAGCGGTGCTGGCCATCGAAAATGGTTGAGGATGGACCGAAGATGACTGAAGAGGCAAGGATTCAATGGTAAACGTGGGAAATCGCTCATCCTTACTATCAGTGTTGACTGTATACCGCATACCAGGCTGCTTGACGAGGAGGCGCGTGGCATGACCTGGTGTTGCCTGGCGACGGAGCCAACGTAAGGCAGGTTCGTGTCGTGCCGACTCCGGCGGTGGTTCCTGACACCGCGGGGATCGTTCTACCTTGAAGGATCGGGCATTTCCGAAACGTCGGGTCGTTCAACATCGACCGATTCTCCGATCCTCGGTCGACGGCTCCCAAACGTTGAACGCCGGCGGCGGGGGCGCCGCCGGTCGACAAAGGGGGCCCGTGGCATGACCTGGTTTTGCCTGGCGACGGAGGACGCGTGGGAAATTCACCCTCTGATCGGCGGCGCGCACCAGGTGGCGGCGCGAGGGGCGCGCCGCTCGGAAGTGGGCGGGCGGGCTCCCGAAGCGGCTGGGGCCCTCTTTCGGGTGTTGTTAGAAGTCCAAGGACCCAATGGCCCAGGGTGCCCCCAGAGTTTCCAAGGAGGCCCCCACGGCCTCCAGAGCACCGTTCACGAGTCCCAGAGGGCCCCAGGGGCTACCTCACCAATTCAGCGAAAAACTCGGGGCAACTTGGACCCCTAGCCTCTTCCGTCTAGCAGCCTGGAGGCCTCTGAGCTCCAGGACTTCTTACGTGACAGGATGGAAGAAGAAAACACTGTATTGAAGTTCGCGGGGATTTCTTGGATCTGCGCCGGAACCCCCTTCCTGGCGCGCGGAGCGCGCCAGGAGCAGCGCCGGAGGCGCCGCCAGGGGGGGGCCCAGCGCCGATCCAAGAAATCCACGCGAAACGTCGAACGTTTATGTTCATGCCGTTTTTGTTTTTCTTCGACGGGAGGGCGGCTTCTAAGACTTACACCGCGACAGCACAACCAAAAACCTGCCGAGACGAAAAACAACCGAAATCGGCCGAGACCAACAGGCCACAGGCAGCCTAGACAGGCGCAGCGACGCAGCAACGACACAACAACAGACCGAACCGAACCGATCGAAAGCAACGGACTGCGACGCCGCCGAACCGACAGAACCGACCAGACGCGGCTGTTCGGTCGGGCAACTCGGGACCGCTCTAGGCTAGGCGCACCTGCTGGCAAGCATCCAAATGCGAGAAAACCTACAAGAACAAAAAGGAAATCCCCGAAAACCCGTGGGGCCTGGGCCGACGTTCGAGCCCGAGCCGACACGGACCGGCCGGAACCGCAGACACCTCTGGAGGCCCCGTGCATTCTCGGGAAGACCCCACACCCTGCTCGAAGGGCCGCCCTCCCACCCCTCCGCGCGCCAGCCCCCTTGCCGGGCTGCAGGTGACAACTTGCGGAGGTGCGCGCCGATTTCTTGGATTGGCGCTGGCAACACTTGCGGGGGTGGTGATGGTGTCCCCCTGGTGGGGGTGTCGAGGGTTTCGTAAAGGGGCCCAAGGACACACAGATGAATACATATAAACCCCAGGATTCCAAATATTTTCAAACATTTTCTGGGTTTTCGTGTTCCCCCCCCCCACTTCCATTTTCTCTAATATTTCCTTGGGAATCGGCGATGCATGTTGTTTGTTTGTTTTTTATATACTGTGTTTCGGTTGACCGTTCTTTTTGTTGTTTTGAAAGAATAAACAACATTGGTCGGAGGTCCGCGCGGATGTCGCGGATGGAAGCTGGATCCTCCTCCCTCGCGCACGAGGAGAGCGCCTGGGGGAGGCGCCAGGGGCGCCAAGAGGGGCATCTTCGCGGGCCGTTGTTTCTTCTTCAACTTGCGCGCGTGCGCGGCCGCTTCTGGAATATATGTGGGCCGCCGCCAGGAACATCGAGTGCACAATGCTCGAACGTGACACGCTGGCGAGACCTGCCTCGCAAAATGTCTACTATGCCGTGTCTCGTTGTCTTGCCTGGGGGAGCCCGAGGATGCCGATACCGCTGCTCCCTGGACCTCTGCCAAGGTGCGCTCCGAACAGGATTAGCCGGCGGATCCGGCCGTGGCGACCAGGGCTCCCTGAACTAGAGGCCTCCTAGATGGGGTCGGAGTAGATGGGGTCGAAGGTCGCGCCGCATCGCCAATGCATCGGCGATGTATCGGCGATGCATCGGCGACGTCGGCGACGCATTGGCGACGCCGGCGTGGGGAAAACATGGGCTCCTCATCGAGCCGCATCGTCGATGCATCGGCGATGCGGCGCGATCCTCCGACCCCATCTACGCGGACCCCATCTAGGAGGCGTAGAAGGATGCAGGTCGTTCCCTTCGGGTTTCGAGGGGTGTATTCCCAACTGGGGTGGTAACTTTGTGGGGATCTCGAAGGGGACGGGGATGGGGATGGGGATCGGTTAAACGATACCGACTGGATTATGCCCAAAGAGGGCGAAAACGACGGAAGCGTGCAGCGGTATCGGTACCACGTCCTCCTCTGGCCGTTCCCGCCCTCGAGGTCGCCGTCCCGGGCTCCCCACAGGGCGGGCCGCCGCTCCAGCGCCTGCGCTGCAAAAATCGGGGGGCCTCCGCCTGCCACGTCGCGCCGCTGTCCGCATCGAATCCGCGTCGGGTCCGCCTCGAACCCTTGACAGGTCCGCCCCGAATCAACGCAGAATCCGCGCCGAACCCGCGTCGGATATCGTAAACAACATCGCGGTTTGCGCGACAGACGAGGCCCCCCGAAGATTCAACGTACTCAGACATCCAACGTCTCGATGTTTTTCGATCTGGGGCCAAAAGAAGTCCCGAGCCCTTCCCTGGGGCCGGCCTTTCATCCCGAGTCGTCGTTTGCTGGTCCCAGGACCCAGCGAGGGCCCCCGGAGGCCGAAAACTGACAAAAACCTCCCGTCGTGATTTCTGTGACGACGCAGAGGGCAGTGTTTCTTTAGATTCCGGCTAGCTTACTTGCACGAAGGGGGGGGGGGGGGGGGGGCGAGGCCCGAAAAGAAATCAGGACTTCACGCAAGTCGGGGCTCACGTGTACGCCTTTTCGGCTCAGCGCTGCTTGAAAAGGCGGACAGGGGGGAGGGGAGGGGGTCGAAATGCCATGCAATTGAGCTTGCCTGGCTCCAAACACGCCCTCCAAACTTCCGGCGAAATAGCACGTCTGGGTACGTGGGCATCGTTGAACCGATCCCCATTCCCAGCGGCGTGGCCTGGACCCCACTGGCCGATTTCTCTTCCCCCAGATATGGGGATGTGGGCTGCTCCCTTCGGTTTCGAGGGGCACATCCCCGACTGGGGTGGCATGGTGGGGATCGGGATGGGGATGGGGATGGAGATCGGTGAATCGGTACTGACCAACAGCTCGGGGGCGGCCAAGAGGGGGCGTCCAAGAGGGGGGGGGTGCAAATCATGGCCGGCGGCATGTGACATGTGCGCGGCCCAAGGGGAAGGCGCCATGAAATCTGGGGAGATATCATGGCCCCCGCCATGATCTCCCCTCCCCCCTAGTCATCAAACCCCCCTTGGCCGCCCCCGAACAGCGCCTCCAGCGCGGCGCCGAGCCGCCGCTGTCGCGCGTGCTGCAGCACCTCCTGCGCCAAGCGGGCGTGCTCCTGCTCCTCCGAGCTGCGCTCGGCTCCTCCCGGGGGCCCCGGCCCCGGCTCTGGCTGCGAGGCGGCCTCTGCTCCTGGAGAGCCACAAGTCCCTTGGAGGCAACCTCCGGGGGGTCTTCGGGAGAATGCTTACGGGCTGTCGAGTCCAATGCAAGGGCCACTGAGCAAAATCAATCCATGATGGGCCTGTTTTCCACCAACACCACCATAGATTGGAGGGGGAGGGGGTCCTTCTCCTCCTCCTCCTCCTCCTCCTCCTCCTCCTCCTCGTTCCACCCTCCAACTTATGGTGGTGGTGGTGGTGGTGGAAAACAGGGCCATCAACCCAGATTGAGCCCGGGTCGGGCCGAATGGCGTCCCGTGGGGAGCCCAAAGACCCCCGACATTCTCGCGTCGGCGGAACAAAAAAAGAGGTCTGGGTTTTCGGAGGAGATTTCTCGCCTCGGGGTGTTTAGACGAGCGCGTTCCACTACTCGCAAAGTAACTACTCGAAAATGGCCTGGATACGCCGCGGGGGATCTACCATCAATTACATCAAAGCCGACATCTGTTTTCGGACGTTTGCGAGTAGGCACTTTGCGAGCAGTGAACGCGCTCGGTGTGTTTGCCAGCAGCTGCGCCTTGCCCAGAGCGTTCCAGGGGTGCCAAGGCCGTGCCGCACGGTTGGCTGTCGGAGGTCCGAGTTCACCCCTGACATTCCCAGACCTCCAACGATCCGGTCTCTGGACGTTTGTCCTCGGACTCTGCCTCCAGACCCCGATGTCAGGCTGCGGGGCCATCAGAAATAGGCCAGGGACGCGAAGCTACCCACGGTACCGCGGATTCGAAAAATCGTCTGATCGGAGGACGTCTAAGAGCTCGAGTCGTTGAAAAATCACTAAGAACATGCTCGGCTGTGGCCCACCTTACCGGGCCCCAGGACCGTCAGAAAGCAGCTCAGAATGGAAAGCTGGTCCCCAGGAAGAGGTTCAGACCTTTGGGGAGCCACGTTGTCGAGAAACATCAGAAATACACAACGTCGGACGTCTGGGAAGGACGTGCGCATCTAGCCACGTGCATGAGCATGACCCCCCGGTTCACGAGGACAGCCTCACACTGCGAGCGTTCGCGTGACGCACCCCCTCGAAAGTCGTGCGAACTGATGTGCACACGCGCGCGCCTGTGTCGCTTCTGGGCTTCCAGGGCAGGGGGGGAGGTATGCACCCTGCAAGCCACCACCATTCCTGGCCAGGTCCACCCTGGGCCCTGCGGTATGTGTACGCCCTCCTGGTCGAGGCCAGCAGGGTCGTTTCACCACCGTGTGGCCCAGGGTGGCCCTGGACTGGCATCGTGGTGCGTCCAAGCCTCCTGCGGAGGAGAGGGCCGCAGGACGAAGACGGCCGCGGGCCGCCGCGACTCTGTCCCACGGATCGCTGTCACGGTCCTGAGGGAACGGAGTCCTAAAATGTGTGCACCGTTTTCGGACTCCAGGGGCCCTTCTGTGGCGCCAGGGGGAATTGGGGCCCCGTGAACGAGACTTTGCGAGACCAAGGCGCTGGCGCCCCCGAGAAAACTGCAGCCGCGGGCCGAAACGCTCGCTGTTCTTCCTTTCTCCTGCCGGAATCCGACAAGTCCTGGTTTGCAACGTCCTGATCTCAGGAACCCTGAGAAAAAACCAAGGGACCTCAGACCGGTTTCCCTCAAGAGCCCCTTCCGCTATGCCAGTCTGAGGGGAGGGGGCCGAAGGAAGAGCAATCAAGTAAGCCCTCAGGATGCCATAGAACTATCAAGAATCGATCGGCGCAGTCGTGCGCTTTGTGCAGGAAAGCTGCAAAGAAAGAAGGTGGAAATCCCACGCCCAGGTTGAGGGATCAAGGCTCAACTCTTCCAGCATCCCTACCAAACGACCTGTTGAAATCTGAGAGGTCCAGGCGGTCTCTGCCCAGTCTCGGAGAAACCAAGATGGCCATGGATCTCGAGGCGGATTCAGCCGTTGGCCAACGAGAAGCTTCCCAGGGGCCACAAGGGCTAAAACTCTTCGAGCATGAAGCCCTAAACATCTCGAACCGACATTCTGGCCGTCCTCCCCCCCCTCTCTGTGGCGCCCGGCTTCTGGCGGCCGCCGGCGTCCTCCCTCAGGCGCGCCCTCGCAGCGCGCTTTGCAAGGCTGCGCGCCGGCACCTCGAGAAGCGCCAGAGCCGCACATCCGACCTCGCCCCCTCCTCCTCCTCCTCCTCCTCCTCCTCCTCCTCCTCCTCCTCCGCCTACTCCTTCTCCATCCCTCTTCGCAGGTGTCGGCAGGGCGGCCAGGCGTTTCGCCTGAGACTTGATGACAATGTACTCCAGCTGACCAGGTGCTGCCACAACTGCGGGCACTGCCGCTGCTGCTGCGGCCGCAGTCGCCAACGCTGCTGCTGCTGCTGCTGCTGCTCCCCCTCCTCCACCAAGCTCCCCCCCACATTCAGCAGCTGCCACAGAGGCGACCAGGCAACGACACCGGCCAAGTACGAGCCACACGTCAGCAGCTACAACGCGGAGATGAGTTCGGGCGATCGTGCGAAACGGCAGGCAGTGGCAGCGGACGCAAATGCTGCACACGGGGGTCGTGCGAGACACATCTCAGGCACATTGCAGGGACCAGCTCGTGCGAACAGGTGCTCGTAGGACAGGTTCTCAGTTAAGAGCGGGGCAGGCAGTGGCAGCAGGGAGTGGCAGCAGGCCCTGATGCTGCAGGAGATCGTGCGAGACACATCTCAACTACAGTGCAGGGATCAGATCGTGCGAGCAGGCAGGCATTGGCAGCAAACTATCGTGTCGTATGCGAGAGCGGCTAGCAGCGGGAGGCGGCTCGGGCACCACTCTGCGAGAAGCACGAGGCGAAACTGGAGCCCGAGCTTGTCAGCGACAGAGCTTGACACATCGTCTACGAGAAGGGCGAACAGCGGCAGCAGGCGCTGTCGCTACCGCGCGAGAGGTGGCAGGCGAAGCTAGCTTCCGATATCATCAGCTCCAACGAGGGGACCAGGGCGTGCGAGAACGGCGAGCAGCAGGTGGCTCTGACGCTACTCTGCGAGACGCGAGAGGCCAGGCTGGAGCCCGAACTTGTCAGAAACAACGCTGGGCCAAGCGTGCGCGAGAAGAGTTAGCAACGGTACCAGCCAAGCCGCTACGCAAAGAGAAGTGAAACGCGACGCCAGAGCCCGACGTCATCAGCTATGCGCTGGGATCAGGGTGTGCGGCAAAGCCAATGAGCAGGCGGTTCCGACACTACTCTGCGAGAGGTGGGAGGCACATCTGGGGCCAACATTCGTCAACCACAACGTTGCAGACGTCATCAGCTACGATGCTGGGGACGGGCTTCGCGAAAACGTCAAAACGTGCGGGAAGGGCAGGCACTGGCTGCAGGAGTGGAGGAAGGGCAGTGGCAGCAATTCTGTCGGTGCTCGAGTTTCTGCAGAGGCTGCTGGACCCAACGTTTTCAGCTACAGACTGACATTGTGCGCAGGGTCCTCGGCATCCTCTTTTCAGCTACGTAGCTGGAATCAGCCCGAGTGAGAAGAGGCCAAAATGTGTGGTATGGAAAGATCGCGGGTCTATCGTTTTGGAAACGCTCGCAGAGCGGAATCGTAGCTCAATCGGCCAAGGGCCCTGGAAAATTCGCCGGCCCAACGGGCCGGAGGCGTGCTAGGATCTCCGGTAACAGCTAAATAATACTTCTATTTCGCGCGCGCGGGGCGGCCCCTGGGGGTCCCCGGACGAAAAGTACCCCGGGCGATCCCCGGCAGACTCGGGTCAGAGATGGTTTTCCTCCTGGGCGCCGCCCCCGTGGCCCTCCAGAGAGCCCCAAGAAGGGCCACGAGGCAGCCAAGAGCCCTCCAAGATGGTTCAAGAGTGCTCCGAGATGCCACACGATCGTTCCAAGACGCCCAAGATGGCCCCCAGACGCCCCAAGAGGCCTCCAAAAGCACTCCCCAGAGGGCCCCAAGAGGCAACATTCATTACGTTTCTTTAGGTTTTGGGCAGATTTTGGCGTGTCCATCTTTTCGGCTTCCCGACGCCCCAAGACGGCCCAAGAGGCCCCCAAGATCGCCCCAAGAGGGCCCAAGAAGCTCCCAAGAAGGCCCTAAGATGGCCCAAGAGGGCTCCAAGACGGCCCCAGGGGCATCCAAGACGGCCCAAGAGGGGCCCAAGAGGGCCCCAAGCGATGCCCCAAAGGGGGAAAAGAAAATATTCATCCCTTGCTCTGGTGGGTTTGCGCCCTCGTGCGTTCACGAGGTTCTTCTTCCAGCGCGCTTGGCCGCGGGCCCTCCTGGGGCAATGTGCCACCAGCTGCCCAACCAAAGAAGCGCAACCCCCACCAGGGAGGGCGGGTGGGAAAACAGACAAACACAGAACCCACGCGCGGCGGACCAACAGCCCCTGCTTTCCAGCAAGCAGGGCCCAGGCCCGCGACCGACGCTCTTGGGCGGCACCTTTCCATTGGCCTCAGCGGGCCCGACGCTCCTGAGCAACACCTTTCCGTTGGCCTCCACGGGCCAGCACTGGGCCAAACCGCCCCTCCAGTGGAAGCGACAGACCAGACCGAAGACAGGACGACAAAAACAGACAGACAGGACGACGACACGGAGACAGACAGACAGACAGACAGACAGACAAACCAACCGACTGACAGGACAACGACAGACAGACAGACAGACAAGCCAAGACCAACGACAGACATCCGCAGCCCCTGGAAGGGGCACCGCGCACTGAGAGCAAGAGGCCCCCCCTCGGCGCAAACAGAAGTAAGCCCCCCAGAGGCCAGGAGTGGAAGAGCCTGCCACGAACCGTGTGTTCGTCAGATTCTCCTGCCCCCCAAACCTACAGTTTAGGGGCGAATAAAATATTCCTCCCTCACTCTGGTGGGTTTGCGCCCTCGTGCGTTCACAGGGCTCTTCTTCCAGCGCACTTGGCCACGGGCCCTCCTGGGGCAATGTGCCACCAGCTGCCCGCTGCACCCCAGGAGCGCCCTGGGCAACCAATATATGCCCATGTGAACGAGAGGGAACGTGCCCCTGTGAGGAGATGGTGACAGCCCAATGCACACAGGTGCGTT